TGCAGCTCGTCCAGACGCTGGCACTTGGGACGAATGGGCAGACCCCAGGTCCTTGTGGAGTCGGCTCCTGGTGGCACGGGCCATTGGGCCCACGGCCTCTAGCACTGAGCTGCTTCCTCGGCCCTTCACATGCTTTCATTTTGAGACAGTGACTTGCTGAATTGCCAAGGAGGGGACTTGCTTTAGGCTTTTTAAAAAATTATTTAGTACAGGGTCTACAGGGTCTCACTACGTAGATCAGACTCATAGTGATTCTCCTGTTCTCAGCCTCTCAAGGGCTGGGATTACAGGTGCGTGCCACCATGCCCAGTCTCAATCACTTTCTCAGTGCACCCTGAGGGTGGGGCTGGCACAGCACGCTGGGGATTGAACCTCAGCCTCTGAGCTCTGCCTAAGCAGACGCTTTAGTCCGCTGAGCTGTCTGGCTGGTGCTATGCTTCATATATTTTTTTTTAATTTTATTTATTTATTTGTGTGTGTGTGTGTGTGTGTGTGTGTGTGTGTGTAGCCAGCTCAGCCCACCAGGGGGCGGGGCTGGCTGGCATGTGGTGCTGGGGGATTGAACCGCGGTCCCTGTGCTTTGCTAAGCTTGTTCTAAGTAGGTGCTTTAGACCACTGAGCCATCTCACCAGCCCCTATACTTCGTATTTTTAACAAGTTCTCCTTGACTAGGTACAGGGATGCAGGGCTCACTGTAGGCGTGTGTTCAGTTCTGTTAGTTCCATATTCCTCCCTCCCTCCTTACCCCTCCTGTACTGCCCAATGAGGTGGAAGCATCTGTTGCCTTTGTTTACTCCTCCCCTTCTGGGGATCATTTACCTGGTACCCCAGGGCCCTGTCTGGGGTGAGAGCCCCATGCTGGCTTCCATCACAGGGCTGGGAGGAGTAGCGTCCTTGACCTCAGGGCCCAGGCAGCACGAGTGGTGGGGCATGGGCTCCTCCTGCCCCTCCCCCTTCGCCTGGGCCCTCACCCATGCTTGCAGGTTGGGGAATCTGCCAGGGCCTGGGCCCTCAAGCGGGCAGAGGCCAGAGCGGATGCCATTCCCAGTGTTTGCAGAATGGGCCCTGCCAGCAAGTTCCTAGAGCCTGTCCCTATCATCTGCTGTGCCTGTGGACACCAGCTGCGTTCAGACGCTGGATGGATGTTTCCTTAATGCACACTGCTAGCCTTCCAGAGCCAGGGCAGCATTCAGACACTGGGCCCAGCCCCTGTGAGCTCTTTCTGTGGCCAGACACTTTGCCTATGGCCTCAGGCACAGCCTGCAGGAAGTGCCTCTACACCACCCTGCGCCGCCCCGCTGTCATCCACTATCCAGCTGTCATCATGACTTAGTTTTTATGAAGAAAATGAGCCTCAAAGGAACCCAACCTGTGGCCTGTCCCCTTGCCAACCTCCTTAAGTGCCGTCTGTTTTGAAGCTGTGGTTCCCTGCCGTCCATCGTAGCCTGTCCCTCGTGTCTGTGGGCTGTCCTCTCATGCCTCTTCCCTCTGCTGTTCACCCCCAAACCACAGATGCCCCTTGAGTCTCCAAGTAAGCTGGTGCTGACCTCAGCTGGCATCTGCCCACCAAGCCTGTGTCCCGTATCTGCCGCTGCTGTTATGCCAGTCTGCTTCCCAATCACTCTGGATGCTGTTACGTCATTTGCCACACAGGCAGGGCGTGTCACCTGCCTGTCCAAGGCTGCCCGGCAGAGCGGCAGAGCAGTCCACAAGTCCCCCAGGCAGAGAGTGTGCGTATGTGTGCATGTGCCAGAGCAGGCAAGGGGCACTCACGTCACTCTGCAACCCGAGGCCCAGCCGTGTGGACTTCAGAGACCGTTCTGCTCTGCACCCTGGGCCTGAGGGCCTCACCCTGCCCCTTGCTCAGGCTGGAAGAGCCTGTGGTAGAGCCCACGGTGCTGGCCTTGGGTGGTTCTGTAGTGTTATCCCGTGTGCCTACACGCGACTCCATACCAGGCAAAGACTGCTGTGCATGGCCCACCACCTCCACCTCCGAGCCCCTGCACAGCCCTGCCGATGGCCTCTCTGTCCAGCGGGAAGCCTGGTGACTGGCCTCTTGTCCTTATAACTGAGCTTCAGTGTGGCTTTGGGCCCATTGTTAATTTGAGACCTGGGGCTGCTCTTGGGTTCCCACTGGCTCACACTGTAACTTGGGTGCAGTCTGGGTCTTGTGGAGACCTCTGCTGTGTGCTTGGTGGCTATGTCTTCTGATCCGTGGAGCCCACGTTACGGGGACCTGTGCAGGGCCAAGTAGTGGAGGAGCTGACTGCCTGCCTGAGGCTGCTCCAGCCCAGCACTTTCCAGGGTTGCCTGTCGGCCCTGCGGACCCCTGAGTTGGCAGCTTCTGCCCAGCAGAGATCCACATGAGCCTGGCTTTCCGGAGTGGGGCTGAGTCTGGACTTAGGGCCTCTCTGGATTTGTGAGAATCCTGTGCCCAGCATGAAGGCACACGGGGTGTTCTAACATTGCTTCTGGTTGGTCAGTTTCACTTCGATGCTTTTTTGTGGGTTGGAAACAGTCTGAGTTCACGTTTACAAAGGGACAGATTACGTTTCATAAAGATGAAGTAAGGATAGGGCATGCTGACACACGCCTGTAACTCAAGCCTTCTAGGAGGCTGACAGTTCAGGGCCTGCCTGGGCGGTTTGGTGCCCTAGCGGAGTCTGGCTGTAAATTGGTGGGGAGTGGGGAGGCACTGGGTTCAATTCCCAGCTCTGCAAAGAAAAAAGTGTAAGGGCAAGAATAAGGGGTGCAGGGCCTGCATGTGCTATCAGATAAGGTGGTGAAACTGGTGCTCACAGCCCAAGCGAAGGCTAAGAGCACTGTGGCTTCTTCCTGGGAAGTTTCCTGTTCCACGTGGCTGTGTCCCTGAGGTGTCACTCACACCCACACCGCTTGCCCATGTGGACTCCATGGGGCTCAGCAGCCACGGAGCTGCACCCCACACTGTGGTTGGCTTCCTCTGTCCTGGCTGATCGGAGTTGGAACTTACTCAGACTTGAGAATGTGCACACAGGAAACCTGGCCTTGGAGTGAGCGTCCTGCTAGGCCACGTGCACTTTGCACACAACCCGGAGGGAAGGTGGGACAGCTTTCTGTGAGAAATACTTCAATATCGGCACAACATAGGCGTTTGGAGGCACAGTGTGATGGTTTGAATCTTGTGTTCAGTGTGAATGATCGGGGAATTAGCATTTTCATCACTTTAGGCATCTTTTTCGTGTTGGGGACCTTCAAACTTTGTGAAACATGAACTCCCATGAGCTGCAGTCACTGCCGGCTGGAACCAGTAGGATGCACTCCTGCGTCCCTGCCCGTTGTTCACCCTCCCTCCGTGCCCCAACCCTCCTGTCTTCTCCCAGTTGGCCTTTCTTCTACTCTACTCTTCTGTGAAATCGACTCTTTTAGGTCCCACATACACGTGAGAAGTATGACACTCACCTTGCTGTGCCTGGCTTTTTTCCCTCGTTCTCTAGTTCTGAACACATGGCTGCAAATGGCAGGGTTTGTTCTTGTGGCTGCGTAGTATTCCGTTGTGGGTGCATGCATTTCTTTACCCTTCCTCTGCTGGTGGACAGCACTAGAGTCCTTACCGCAGCTGTTGTAATGGTGCTGCATCCGACTTGGGGGTGTGGGGATCCCTCCAGAAAGCTTTGGATTTGTATCCAGTAGTGGGGCTCTTGGACCAGTGAGAGCCTAGTTTTCAGATTTCTGAGAAACTCCCGTACTGCTCTCGCGGTGGATAAACTAGTGCTCGTTCCTGCCCTACAGTATAAAAACTTGTGTGTTTACTGTGGGCCTGGTCATTGACCTCAGGGCCTTTGCCCCGAGCTACGCCCCAGCTCTGTTTTTGTCTTGAGACAGTGTCACTGAGTTGCCCAGGCTGAGATCATCCTGTCAGGTTTCCTCCTCATGTCATTTTTGTGTGAAAAGTTTGGGTTTTGGATTGAGACGTTTGGATTAGGAAATCTGCAGTTTAGGGGCCAGGGAGATGGCTCAATGGAATAAGCGTTTCCCTGGCAAGTGTAAGGGTCTGAGTTCAATCCCCGGTTCCGCAAAAAAAAAAGGAAATCTGCAGTCTATTTGGGGACACTTTCGTTACCCCAGAAAAGAGACCTGGTAGGGCTGGCGAGATGGCTCAGTGGTCGAAAGCACCTACTTGGAACAAGCTTGACAAAGCACAGGGACTGCGGTTCGATCCCCCAGCACCACATGCCAGCCAGCCCCGCCCCCTGGTGGGCTGAGCTGGACACACACACACACACACACACACACACACACACAAAAAAAAAAAAAAAATAAAAAAAAAAAAAAAAAAAGAAAAGAAAAGAGACCTGGTACCTATAGCAGCGCTCCTGCTCCCCGTGAGCCCCTCTCCCTTGGGGAGTGGCCTCCTGTCTCTGCGGATTCACCTGCCATGGACATTTCCTGTGGATGGCATCACACAGGATGTGGCCATTAGTGCCTGGCATCTGTCCCTTCGGCTGCCGTTTGCAAGGCTGACGGTGTCGTTGCATGGATCGGCCCAGTGGGGGGACATGCCACCCTTCAGCTGCTCATCAGTTGACAGGCATTTGGGCTGCTTCCAGGACTGCGAACGGCAGCGCTCGGCACGCACACCCAGACTTCCGCGGCGTGCATGGTGCTCTTCTCCCAGGCGCTTCTTTGACCTCAGTGTGCGCAGCTGCAGAGTCTGCAGCGGCTGGGCCACGTCCGACGCGCATGGGTGGTAGGAGCGCCTCAAATCTTAGTGGCGTGTCTCTGCCTGCCTCTCTTGGCAGAAGCTGTGGAGATCAGCAACAGGGCTGCCACTTTGTCAGGCATAGTGTGTCCCCTGGGGTCATTCACAAGAGCTCCCCTGGCCAGCTGGAAGCTGCAGACACGTTCCATGCCCACTGCGGGCTGCAGCCCTTCCTTCCAGGGGGGTGGCAGAGTGTTGTCTCCATGTGGGAAGTAGCCACACTCTGTGTCTCCTCTGTCACATTCCCCTTTCTCTGCAGGTGTCACCATGAAGCTCATGGACGAGGTGGCTGGGATCGTGGCTGCACGCCACTGCAAGACCAACATCGTCACGGCTTCTGTGGATGCCATAAATTTTCACGATAAGATCCGAAAAGGTAATAGGACTCTTCTGAGGAAGTTAAGGAGGAGAGGAGATGGTCCCCGGCTGTGCCTCTGCTCGTGCTGCGTTCTCAGCTGCTGTCACCCTCTGCCATGGGAAACAGGAAGGGCAAGCCTGCACCTGAGTCTTGTGAGGACATCTGGGAGCCTGTGTTGATTGGTGTCACTTGTCAGTTTGGTACAATGCGACACTCAGGTGACAGAGGCCTTTCTCTCTCCGAAGACCTGTGTGCATTTGTCCATGGGCATCAACCCTCCAGGGGACCCTGTGACGATGTCTTGTGCATGGCAGCCACCCCACCTCCCACCCCCTGCCTGTGACCAGCATGTTTCTCTGGTGGGGTGGGGGTGGGAGGCAGCCCTGCTTGCTTTGCCCTGGACGCCCTTGCTGTTCGGGTTTTCTCTGTGGCCTGGCACACTCCATGCTGTCCCTGTGCCCACCAGTACTTCCTCGAGGGTCTGCAAGGGCTTGGCGCAGAGCCCGCACTGCAGGGCTCCTCTCTGCCTTGCTGAGCTCCATCTCAACCACAGGTGGTGGCTACAAACAGACTCCAGGGTCATTTTTCGAATTTGCCCCGGATGAGTAGCCTGGTCTGCATCCTGTGCTCTGAGCTCTGGGGACCTGTTGGGGATGAGGATCCACCACGTTGAGTCTGTGCCGTCTTTCTAGAGCTCCTGCCTGGGGAAATCACTGTGATAGGGCCACAGCGCTAAGTACCGGTTTAGAATACACAGTGGATTAAACTTCTAATTCATTCAAAAAAAAAAAAAGAATACACGGAGAACGCGGTCACATTCCTTGGGCCGCTATGTGCACCTGTCCCCAGGTGTCTTGCATCACTGAGCAAAGAGCACTCCCCTGTTTCCTGTACTCCGAAGCAAGCGAGGGTGCTGCTCCACACAGCACCTCGGGGTGGGCAGCAACGTTCCCTGAGAAGGGCTCCAGGCTTCACCCTCTTTGTTGTCATGGCCAGGATCACTGGGGAGTGGGGGTCAGGAGGGGTGCAGCGAGTCCCGGGGGCAGGGATGATGAAGGTGGAGCCAATCAGACTGTCTTTCTCTGGTGCTTTTTGCACTCTGGGAGATGTGGGGCAGCTCATGCAGGGGCGAGTTGTCATTTCCAGGGAGGCTGTGCTGTCCAGAGTTCAGTGTGGGCATCTGTTTGCAGAGCTGATTCTGGCAAGGCTGTCATGGTGGCCTGGCTTCTGCAGGTGGTGGGGACGAGGGTGGCCTGGCCCTGTCACACCTCCAGAAGAGCTGCAAAGCAGAGCCGTGCTGACATGTGGCACCACCTCCCCCCCACCCCACGTGGCTGCCACAGCCTCGGCCTGGGGAACCCCAAGAGAAGGCATGTGGCTCCTCACGGGGGCGTGGAGGTGGTGCTGCTTCCCCAGCTGACGTAGTTTGGATGAGACAGACTTCGTGGCAGAAGTCTGCATCCTTGTGGAGTCGGCCGGGCCAGGGTCCCCCTGGGCCGAGAGACTGTCACACCCTGTTTGTGGTTTGCAGAGGAATGTCACCTGTGAGGAACCCACGGGAGTGGTGTCAGGGAGCTTCAGCAGCAGCACCATGACATCGTGACATCCATCTTGGGTTCTGCAGGGCGCTCTGGCCTCGTGGGTGGTGTGTCCTGCTGGCTTTGGCTCCTGGTGACTCACACACTCGTGAGCAGTGGTGCAGGGTGAGGTTGGGTCCTGCTCTGCTCAGGGCCCCATAGAACGCTGGGGCAGCTGTGATCCCTGAGCCCCTGTCCCTGCCCCCCGCCCCAGCTTCATGCTTCAGCCAGACTTGGAGGAGACCAGAGGCCGGGCCCCACCGCCCCCTCCAAGGGCTCAGCCAGAGCCCTTCCTGTGGTCCTGTGCTGTGCAATGGTGTGGTGGAACTGCGCCGACTGCAGGCTTCCTCGTGGAGAAACGGTCTCTCGGGCCATTAGGGTGAAGGCGGGACTGCTCTGGAGGGGCTGTGGGAGGTCATGGAAGAAGTGTGCTGTCTGCTCGTGTCCAGAGGGCAGGCGCCGAGCCGTTCTGCTCGATGGCGTGTGGCCCCCGCGGGCTTGGCAATAGATTTTTGTTTGTTTTCTTTTCCAAATCCCTGGCACAGTGCTAAAGTCTGGCTACTGCCACCTGGGAGCGACGCCTGCGTGGGGGCGACGGCGGGGTACCAGCCAGCCCCGCTGCTCTGCCATCCCATGCTGGCTCTGATTGATAAAAGCAGACGGCTGCTGCCACTCGTAGCTCCCCCACAGGTGTCCCCTGGCTGACGTCACTGGCGCTGGCGTGTTGAGCTCTGTGCTGCCCCTCCCAGGAGGCCAAAGCTCTCAAGTTTGCGGTGGGCACAGAGCCCAAGTCAAATGTCCAGGGAAGCCTGCGGGGTCCTCCAAGAAGGAAACTGTCATTGTGGGTCACCTACAGCTCTGTGTCCGCAGCTGCCCAGAACGCTGTGGGCCATTCAGCCTGGGTCCCCTACCCTGCTGTTCATGTCCGTGCTCAGCTGCTCCAAGCACTCGGCTTGGGGTCCTCTTTCTCTCCTGGGGAGAGGCAGGCAGTGGCCATGTGATAGCAAGGTCCAAGCACTGCTCCGAGGCTTGCGTGTGACTTACGCTGGGAGGAAGGGACAGCAGGGCCTGCAGTGGCCCACTGCCCATCGTGTCCCTGGTGTAAGTCTGCCCATAGTCCTCCAGGGTGACGGCAGGGCTGGGGCTTCCTGGGTATGAGGACCAGACTGGTGTGCACAGGGCCACACCACTCCAGCTCTAATGGGGTTCCCAAGCTGGCAGGACACGGTTGTCACTAGGTGATAGGCCGACCAGTGTCAAGCAGGAAAGGAAGCTGGGTGGAGGAGGACAGTGGAGGCCCTGGAGAAGAGATACTGGACTAAGGCACAAGGGAGAGCCAGGCCCAGCCTTTGCCTTGGCCCAGGGTAGAGACAAAGGGTCAGGGTGGAGGCTTCAGGACTGGGTTGGATACTCAAGACCCAGAGGCTCTGTGGGCCCCCTGGTCACTGGGCTTGCCTGTGTCCAGCTCGGGGCAGGCCAGCCTCAGAGCACCTCCCTTGTCCTGCCCAGGCTTCGTGTGGCCTGGTGGTGCTGTGTCTGGCCGGGGATGAGGCTCGGGCTCTCCTTGTGGGATTCAGGAATGTCGTGTTGATGCCTTTTGCTGCTTGTCATCTGGCCCAGAGGTCTCGGAAGATTGGCCTGCTTGTTTGCATTTGGGAAGTGTCTTCAGATTCCAGCCTAGAAATGAAGCCAGGAGCAGCCTGTGTTGGCCGTGGTGAAGAGGGCACTCCTGAGCTGCCGCAGAAGGGCGCGTTTCTGTCATTGTCTGGAATTCACAGCCCTGTACAGACCCCAGACTGCCCTCCTGGCAGCTATCCCAGGTGCCCCTCACCCGACCTGTGGGCTACTGAGGGAGTCCTCACTGGCTTGTTCTCATGGAAGGGGTGTTCCTGCGTCTTGGCTGTGACCTCTGGCTCGTGGTTATGAGTGGCAGGGATGGTTGCTGAGCACTGGGGAAGGAGAGACTCTGAAGGCCCTGGGATGGCCATCACAGCCTTGCACCCCTCAGCTGGGATGTATTCCAAGGGGTGTGCGGTCACTGTCCAGGTGATTGCAGGTGGTGCTGCACCTGGCAGCCCATGCTGTGCCACTTGTCACTGACCACGTGGCTCTTTCTTCTCTCCCAGAAATGGTCGGGTCCGGCACAAAGCGCGTAAGTATGACATCAAGTGTGGCGTAGAATATTCTGGAACATTTACATAGAGTAGCCTGTGCTACCCCTTTGTCTTTCTCTCTCTCTCTGGGTCTGTAAATCTGGCAGTAACTAGTATCTCAAAGGGCCCCACTGCTAGCACCCGTCCCTGCAGAACAGGGCCCCAGCTTGTGTGGAGGTGGTGAGGAGGCCTGGTTGGGCCGAGGGCGCTCTGGTCGCCTTGGAGGGAGATGGCAGCAGCCAGGTGCCAGCCCCACCCTTGAAACCCCGTGGGTTAACGGGAACCAGTGATGTTGACAGTGACATCTATGATGTCTTTGGACCAAGCGCCGCACAGGGCTTCCTTCCCTGTTATACAGCTGAGAGAGGTCTCTGGTGTCCATTTGCAGAGGGGAGCTGAGCTCTGTCTGAGAGCTGAGAGATTGTGGCGAGTGCAGGAAAGGCCAGGCTGTGCAGGGGTCACGCCCTGCAGGGTGAGGCACCTGGAAGAGAAGCCGTGGCTGGAGGCCACGGGAAGCAGAGGCTGCTCCAGGATCGCTGGGGAGGGGCAACAGGACGGCAGTGGCTTTGGGTTTTATTGTGACCATGTGGCACCGAGCTGGCAGCGGAAGCAGCGAGCCTGAGGAGAGGCACGGTCACAGCTCTGAAGGCGGAGGGCAGCAAACAGTCCCGGAGAGCTCTGGGTGGGCCAAAGCCAGAGGTGGCTCAAGAAGGACCTAGGACCCCAGTCAGCCCAACAGGGACCTGAGTTGGTCCAGCAAGAAGAATGCAATATTCCAGAAGGCTCTTCAGGGTGCTTGGAGCAGTGTGGCGGGCCAGCCGTGTGGGCCAGTAGGCACAGTAAGGCCATGGGTGTCGGACGCAGGCTGCAGGCTCGACTGCACGCTGGCTGCACTGCCCTCACACTGAGAGCCCGGCCAGGGTGGCTCCTACCTGGCCGGCGGCATGCAGACCACCAAGGCCCTGAGGACAGCACAAGGGACACAATACAGGACTACTAATGGCTTGTCTGGTAGTTCGTCGTCTAACACTCTGATCATCGTTGCCGCCCGCCTGTGTCACCTAACCTTGTGCCCTTAGCTGTCCTTGGTAACACCAGTCCGGCCACAGCCAGTGTGGAGGCCGAGTCTGTCACACTCACGTCTGCCCCTGTGCCCCACAGGCTGTGTCATTACCATCTCGGGCCGCATGACCTTCACGAGCAACAAGTCCATGGAGATCGAGGTGCTGGTGGATGCGGACCCAGTGGTGGGCAGCTCGCAGAAACGCTACCGGGCCGCCAGTGCCTTTTTCACCTATGTGTCGCTGAGCCAGGAGGGCAGACCACTGCCCGTGCCACAGCTTGTGGTGAGTGTGCCGGGTGCCGCCCTGGGGCAGGGCGGGGGTTGGCAGGCGGTGAGGTCACCAGGAGCCACTTGTCCATGGGGAGGCTGTGGGGACAGTGTAGACACAGCATTGCCCCCTGAGGTCCTAGGTGAGCTAGAGTGGGTAAGGATGTCTTCGAATCCCGTGCTCCATTCCTTGCCAAGGGGCCACTTTTCCTAAAGTGGTCTTGGTCTGCCTGACATGCCAGACGGGGACCAAGCCAGACCCGTGGACTGCAGTGGGGTCTGGGCTTCCTAGGCTTTTCCTTCTACCTCAGTGCCCTGGCTGTGCACTGTCCACCCATGTGTCCCTCACGGGGCACCATGGGACAGAGTGACCCAGGGATGCAGCATCTGCCCTGTCACCAGAACCAAGGATCCCCCTCCTGGCCAGCTCTCGCAGCCCTGCAGCCTTCAGGCCCATGCCAAGTGCTCAGGGAGCCAGACCCAGTGGCTCTCCCTTAGGGACTGAGCAGGCAGAAGCAGGGTGCTCAGGTGGGGCAGGCCCATGTGCCCTGCGACATCTGTCTTGTCAGCGCTGGGAGACTGTAGCTGTGCTGTATTGGCAGTCTGTCTGTGGGTGGCCCAGCTGCGCTGTTGCCTCTGCCCACGGCTGAGGAGACCCACTGGCCTGAGCCTCGGTCCCCGCATCCATGTGGGGCTCGGTGAGGCTGCAGTAGCCCTTCCCAGGCTCACAGACCAGGGAGCTGTTGTGACTGCCGCGGCTGGAGTGCCTCAGCTGCCCCAGTGCCCTCTCCTGCCCCCTAGGGGCTCCACTGGGTTGGGCTGAGTCCATGCACTGCCTCTTGAGGGGCTGTGGGCAGCAGGGAGGGCGTCCCCGGATTGGCATGCAGAAGATTCTGCTGGGTGGGCAGGAGGCTGCCTGCATGGCGCTTCCCTGGTGCCCGCACCTCGTGTGCCCAGGACCCCGTCCCTACTCTTCATGCCCTCACAGCGCCCTCTGGAGGCTGCACCCCCACTGCGAATGCCCACAGTTCCTGCCCCCAGGGAGCCCAGGAAGCAGGCAGGGAGGGAGTCTGTGCCACATCACCCCTTGGGTGCACCACAGGGCTGCTGGGGGAAGGGGAACCACCTGCCGGAATGGAGGACACAGCCGCTGTGTCCCCCAGCTGTGGGGACTCCCCCAAGGCGGGTGTCGTGGATCCGGGCTGTTATTTTTCACTCATTAAAGATGGTCTTTGGGAGCTGGGGAGATGGCTCAGTGGAATAAGCGCTTCGCTGGCAAGCGCAGGGGCCTGAGTTCAATCCCTGGTTCTGCAAAAAAAAAAAAAAAAGATGGTCTTTGATTCCTCTCAGAGGTACCCTGGGACCCTCTGACACTGATAAAAATAGTCTCTGGCAGGGAGAGCAGGGCACCGTCTCCCGGAGAGAGCTGTTGGGCTCTAGCTGGGCCTTTGTGTCACCGCCGGGGCACCTCATCTGAGAGCACCCGTGACTGCACGTGGCTCGTGGATGCATGTGCTGCCCTCTGCGCCCGCCCCACCCTGCTGCCAACAAGTCTTCATCGGCTGCCTATTTTTAGCTCCCTCCCTAGGGCCCATCTGACACGGAACGAGGCCTCTCTGCCGATGTTTCTTGGTGAATATTTGATGCAGGCAGGGCCTGCACGCCACATTCCCCAGCAGCTGCGGCCCTTTCTGGTCTGAGGTTTGGAGCTGGCCCACGCGCAGGACGCCAGGGCATGCGCATGAGGAGGCCAGGCCTGCACACTGAAGCCTTCTGTGTACATACCACGTGCCAGGCCTGGGAAGGGGCCTGTACTGGGCTGGCAGTGGTTCCACTTGGGCAGCACTGGACCCAGTTCCGCGGGCACCTGGCACTGGGATGGCCCGTTGGCTCCCGTGGGTGGTCTTTCCCAGCTGAGCACAGGAGGAAGCATTTTCTGTATCAGGCCGAAGGACGCCCTAGCCCCTTGTGTGGGCAGCACTTAGCTCCAGTTGTCCTAGATGAGAGTCCCACCATCCCTGGGCGCCCCAGGATGGCCTGTGGCATCAGCCAGAGGACCTGGGCGTCCCAGCTGGGTCTGTCTTGCATGTCTGCTGGGTGCTCCCAGCACAGCCACAGCAGGAGGGTCATGCCCAAGGCCAGGTTGCCCAGCCACCCGCTGCAGGCTGACAGGAACACACCCTCCAGGTTGAAACCTCGCAGGGGAAGCTCCCCTGTTTGCAGTGCATGTCACCTTCATGTCTCCTCCGCTGTAAAAGCTGTCCCCAACAGCACCGATGGTGGCAGTGGTCCTGTCTGCCAAGCACCCACCCAAGGCTGGGAAGGTGGTGCCGCACAGAGCTCTGGCTGTCGCTGTCTCCTGGGAGTGTGGGGCGTGGGTCAAAGTGACCTCTTGAGTAGGGGTAGGTGTGCGGAGCCCTTGTGCTGGGCAGGGGCACCTGAAGCCCTCAGCGTGCGGGGCTCACTGGAGTTAGGGCGGGTGGTCCTGTCCTGACAGGATAGGGGTGAGCAGTTGCCAGGGCCACATGGCGGGCCAGCCCTGGCGCTGTGTCTTCCCCTCCCCCAGGAGAGCATGGCTCACTGCAGGTGTGGCCTGAGGTGGCTCCTCCTGGCCTGAGCCTGGGGGATTTATCCAAGCACCCACTACTTTGATTGGGAGCCATGTTGATGAGCGCTGGCTTCAGCAGTGGTCTGGCCCAAAGGCCCTGGCATCTCTGGGCCATGGCAAGGCACAGGGCAAGCTTTCATACCTGTCAGCTCCCTGGGACCTCAGCCCAGCCCTGGGTACAAGGTGCCGAGTGCTGGGGTCCTCCCGTCACCTGCCTGTTTGTCCCCAACAGGAGTGGCCACCACTTTCCTAATCACAGCCCAACCAGGATGGGAAGGGAGGCTGCTTGCTCTGGAGTCATCGACAGTCACCACAGACTCTTGTAGGCAGTGAGGCACTATTCCCAGTCCTAGAGTTTTGTGACCAAGAGAACCACTGGGCATGTGGGGCCTCCACCAGCCCCTGTGGTCTTGCCCAGGACGGAACATTGTTGCCACACACACACACACACACACACACCTGTTGGACTCCTTCATTTGTGTGCTGGCTTGGAGTCTGGAGAGATTCTTGCTGGCCAATCCTAGAGTTCAGGTTTCTGAAGGCAGTAGGCCACACAGTGCTGTGCTCGTGAGCAAGGTGCTGTTTCCTGGCTTGGTACTTTGACCAAAATGGGCAAGGGCCATGGGGGCAGAAGCCCACTGAGGCTGGATACCGTGTTTAAAGGTGCAGTAGCCCCTCCCACCATGTGCCCGTGTACACACACATGCACATGTGGGATCCCTGCCAGCAGCAGAGCTCACCCTGGTGGCTGTCATGTCTCGGGGCAGCCCTGCCAGGTCCTTAGGGCCAGTTGGGGACGTGAAGCAGTGGTCACGGAGCACTACACCCAGTCCTAGAGAGTACTGTGACCAAGAGAGCCATTGGCCACACCTGTATGAAGTCCAGCCATCCCCGTTTGGGTCACTCACTCATTGGATAAAGGCTCCTCTGTCTTGGGCCCAGCAGAGACCACAGGGCACAGATGGGTGAGGACATGGGGCTGCAGGCTGCCTTGCTGTGCTGATCGCGTCAGCTACATCCCTACCCTTTGTTTACGTTTGAACTAGTAACACACTAAGTGGCCCAAGGTGGGCTCAAACTTGTGAGCCTCCTGCCCCTGCTTCCCACGGTGCTGAGGTGATAGGTGTAATCTGCCGGGAGGGCCAGTGGGGTACGATGTACCCCTGCCTGCAGGTGAGACCCCCAGTGTCCATCTGCAGGCTGGAGCTAGATGCTCTCCAGCCTTTGCCACACTAGCCCACCTCTGCCCTGCCTTTGGCCCTGCCATCTGGAATTTCTTGGCTACTCGTGAGAGCATTTTCTGGGTGCGGGCAGGTACCACTGGGTGAAAGCCCCCGGCCAGGCATTGGTGCTCCCCTCTGTGGTCCCATTACTGAGGCTTCCTGAGGCAGCTCAAGAGACCCAGGTGGGCACAGCAGGGAGTGGCCAACCCAGGTGGCAGCCCAGCCCTGCCTGTCCCGATCAGCCTCTATCCAGCCAGCCACACCAAGTGTCCTCAACAACCAATAATGTTTTATTCACTTTCCTAACTGTGCCAGGACCCTCGTGTCCTCCACCAGAGCACGGAAGAGGGTGTGCCGCTTGGTCTGTGTCCAGTTTCAGGCAGTGGTTTGGTCGCCCCTGGAAGTCCCAGCACAGCAGACTCATGCTGCTTACGAAAAGGACAGGCTGTTGATCCCCCGGGCGGAGCTTTGTCACTTATCCTCTACTCCGCATTCCAAGCGTGTTCTCAACACACAGAGCGCAGAGTGGAAAACATTTGGTGTGCGGCGTGAAACTCTTGAAGGCCACAGGCTTCCCCTCGAGTGGAAGAGAGCCTAGAAGTTGGCACTTGGCAGGAAGTGCAGAGAGGAGGGAGGAGGGAGGCGCAGATTGGAGGCCTGCGAGCCACCAGGCAGAAGGGACCGGGCTTGGCACTTTCTGCCACGCAGAGAATACGCCAAGAAGGCAGTGTCCCTTCATCTTGCCGTCCCGTTTCTCTGCCTTTGGATGAGCCCTGGGGCCACGTAGCTCACCTCCCAGACAGCAGAGACACCCTTGGAGCAGTGCTAGCCCCAGGGGGGCACCTGACCTTTAAAGTCATGAGTGAAGACGAGGTCACCGCCCAGATACACACGCACACAGGACACAAGAGCACGTGTGCCGTGCCGCCAGGAAGTGCTTCGTGGGGTCACCTCTGTGAGAGCCTGTTCCGTGGTGATCAGGCCAGGCCTCCTAGCCCCGTCGGGTGACCCAGAGCTACATGCCTTGCACAGTCTTCTTGATGACAGCTGTGGCCCCTGCCATGTGCACTGGGCAGCCAGAAGCACTAGATGCTGCCCCGGGGCTGCAGGTGGCACAGTGCTGTCCATGCCCCTGAGGACGCGTACCTGCCTGCCTCCCTGACGACAGCCTCAGGGCTGCAGAAGACACATTGGCTTCCCCAGGGAGAAGTTGTCCCTTCCTCCCCACCACCTGGCCTCCGGGAGGACAGCAGCAGCCATCTCAGCCGGCTGTGTTTATTTACTTGGCCCACAGAGGGGGGCAGATGTGCCGTGGGCAGGGCCCGTGCCTTGGACCATCTGTCTCATTCTGCCAGCCCCGTGCTTGCGGGGACGTGAGGGTGCCCTTGGTCACCTGATTCTGAGATCTCTTGCTCCGAGCCCAGCCAGACCCTGCCCTGCCCCCCAGCAACCCTGGGCCGCTGGAGGCCTGGAAGCCTGGGGGGCTTGGATGGCAGCACACAAGGTGCCTGCCCGATGCACAGTTGAGGCCAGTGAGGAGGAAGACAGCCCCTAGCCTGCTGCCGGCTGGCTCCTTGCTCTCAGGCCCTGCGCAGCCCTGGCTGTGCTTTCCTGGCGACCTCTGCCACATCCATCATCAGACGGCTCCTGGCTGGCTGAGGATTAGACACCAGAGGCATCAGAGCAGCCTGAAGCCAGTGCCAGGCCCAGCTGACTGCTAGAACTTCCTGCGCCCCAGCCTGTGGCCTCCCTGGTCCTGTGGCAACCAAGCTGATGGCAGGCACACACAGGGCCTTTGATGCACGTGTGGCGGAACCCTGGATGTCCTGTTGGCTGGGCAGTGATGTGGAGGAGGGCATCCCAGGTCTGACATGTCAGGAGCTCCGACAGGCCGCAAGGGAGCAGGATGGGAAATGAGCAGGACCCCTCCAAGCACCCCCTTCACCCTGATGAGGACCCTGCATAGCGTTACTACATCCTTTCCCACAGCCTCCAAACCCTTGCTCTCCTGTGTGCACTTGGACCCGTGTGGTGAGCCCCACATTCCAATGGGCTGGCCCCTTCCATAGCAGCTCACTGCCTGGGGCCCAACTGCACCTCACACACACCCTGCTGCGAGGCTGGACCCCTGCCCTGTACAGATGAGGGGACCCAAGCACAGAGCAAGATGGTACCTGCCTGTTCTGAGCAGAGCCGGGCTGGCTGCTGCCCTCTGAGATCCCTGGAACAGGAGGCAGTGTCAGAGCCTTGTTCCACCACTTAACGGGTTTGCCTGCCTGGGCCAAGGAAGTGTGGGGGTGGCTTCCAGTCAACCTGGGCACCTTGTGTGGGCCGGGAGGGCACAGCCCCCACCAGCCTCCCGAGCCCCCATCTCAGCTGTGATGTTCTTGTCACAGTTGTTACTCGCCCACCTGCTGCGTGATTCACCTATTTTTGTGTATATTCTCAGCTTCCTGGGGACGGTCTGCTCAGGACCAAGTGGCACTTAGGAGCACCCCCGTGTGCACATAGACCTAGTGAGTCAGAACTGGTCCCTAGGAGAGGAGGGTGTTTCATGTTAACCCTGTGACCGTTTCCTGTGCCCGTTGCTCCTGGGTGTGTGAGATCTGGTGGGCACCCCTGCTGCGCCGTAGCCACCCCTTCTTGCGGCCCTTCAGCAGGGCGTTTGCCTCTGGGTTGGTTTGGGAACAGCTTTCCTGAGATACAATCACGCGCTGTATCATTGAGTGATTTTGGATTCTTTGGGGTTGTGCATCTCTGACCGCAATCAATTTTAGGCCATTGTTGTCACCTCAAGAAAAACACTACACCCTTTAACTGTAACTTGATCCCCAGCCCCTCCATGCCCCAGCTCTTGGCTGTTGCTAAGAGCTGCCTGTTCTGAATGTCACCAAATGGTCCCAGGCAGTGACGAGTGACCCTCTGCCGGGACCACAGGGGCATCTGCACCTCAGGAGCCAAAGAGCTCAGTAGGAGAGCAATGCTGGGGACCAGCCCCCCAAGACGGAGCAGAACCAAATGCAAGGGTGGGGCAGGCCGGTGCCCCGGCACAGGTTGGGGCCCCACATCTGGGGCTGTCAAGGCCAGTGCGGAGGGCATGTAGGGCCAGCCCATGTCAGAACAAGTGGCCATCCTTTGCAAGGGGGCCCCGGCCAGAGCAGCTGGGGACAGTGAACTAAGCTGTGTCAGGCAGATTTTACTTGCAGCTATGACCCTTGTGTCACTGTTTGCTGGAGCCCAGACTGTCTGGCCTTGGCGTGTAGGGAGCACAGAGATCCCCTTCCTGCTGTAGGCCAGTAGTAGGTGGTGATGGTGTGGTGCAGCAGGAATGCCTCCCATCCAGGGAGCGGACCAAAGTGCCCCCTGCACACAGCCCACGGGGCCCACAGCAGACGGGTCCCCGAGTGGCCGCTTCCCAGTTCCACAGTGTCTGGTCTGCCCAGCGGGGATCACTGGGGACGGACAGGAGCCATGGGTATTCCTCATCCATACCAAGCATGGTGCCACTGTCTAGCCTGGTGCCTGCCTTGACCTGACACTTTTGGCCACTTCAGTAGTGAGGGGACAGGGTATGGCCATGCCCACAGCGACACAGTGTAGAAATGAGTCTCAGCCTTAGCCCCAGACAGCCTGTAGCAGACCTGGTGGTGACAGTGTTGGGCTATGACAAGATGCGCACATGAAAATGAGCACCAGCCAGCCAAATAGCTCAGTGGAGTAAAGCGCCTGCTTAGACAGACACGGGCGGAGGGTTTGATCCCTGGACCTGCCATGCTAGACCCACCCCTGGGGTGTGCTGAGACAGGAGATTGAGACTGGGCACCTGTAATCCCAGCACTTGGGAGGCTGTAAACAGGAGAGTCACTATGAGTCAATCTATGTAGTTTGGACCCTGTACTAAGTACAAGAAAAAAAGCACCAGTGGCACACCTGCCTGCCGGCCCTGCGCCTACAGCCCCAGGAAGCCAGGGATCGAGCCCCCTTTGCACGCCCCCTCACTATTTCAAGTGCAATTCTGTACCTCAGAATTTTTTTTTTCAATGTACCTCAAAATTTTATTTTTAAATCATGGGACTGTGATGGAGCTGGAGCAGCAGGGGGTACTTCTCTGGGGACAGGCTTGGAAAAGCCGGCATTTTCATCTGTTGTCCTGAAGGCTCTTCAGACAGGACCCTTCGTCCTGGGGAGCAGCCCTGTGTCTAACTGCCGTGAGGGCCACTGGCTGGGACAGTGTACAGCTGGTGACATTTAGTGAGCACTCCCGAGAGGGCTGCGGGAGGGAACTTGGGCGTGACTTGACATTGCGTCCTCAGCTCCGTGGCTCTCTTGCCGAGGTTCCGTTTGTCTGCTAAACACGCAGTCCTAAAAATAGCTGCTGGGACCAGCTCTGCCGCGATGAAGGGTGCTGCCCCTGCTTCTGGGAATGTCCTACAGAAATGGCCTCTCGGGTGCAGCACAGCACACAGACCTGCACTCCCCTGCACCAGGGGCCACTTTGCAGTCAGACAGGGCCCCCCGGCAGTGGCCACCTAGGAGCAGGGCGAGGTGTGCGCACCTGCACTCTGATGAGGCTGAAGCAGGCTGGCTGCCATGAGTTCAAGACCAGCCTTGAGCTGCACAGTGAGATGCTATCTCAAAAGAGGTGACCACATAATGTGGCTGCTTGACATCTGCCCAGGTCACAGCCACGCTAGGCCATCCTGAGAGTGGGGGCGTGCCCTTCCTGGTCCCTCATGCCCACAGGTGTACACCAGGACATGGCCAGGTCCCACCCAGCTGGATAGAGTCCCTCCCTCCCGACAAAGCAGCCCCTAATGGGCTGACATGGGGCAGCAGCCTTCTCAAGGTCACAGCCAGCATTTGGGGGCAGAAATGGTAGGCAGCTGGCAGTGGAGCAAATACTGGATCTGTCTGTCTGTCCTCCCTCCCCACACACCGGCTCTGGCATCAGCCTTCCCTCCACGTTCATTAGCAAGTGTGCGTGTGTGTCTTCCCTTGCTTTCTCTTTCCCTCTTTTTTAAGGTAGGATCTCACTATGTAATTTATACTGGTCTTGATCTATTTGCTGAGTACATGTGGGGACCCTACCAGGGGGATGGCCATGCTGCCCGAGGCCAGCTATGTGGTGCTGGATGTCTGGATTAGGTCACCCTCTAGCCCAAGGTGGCCTCAGACTTGTGGCCCTGCTCCTGACTGTCTCCCAACTTTTGGAATTATGAGAATGGGCACCTGGTTTAAGTACATTTTCAACTGAAGTTCACTGAGGAACACTGGGTTTGGAGTTCCACACAAGAACTCAGGCTGGCCCTGCCAAGCAGACAGGCCGTGGGTTGGGTGGAGCCAGGTCACACTGCTGTCCTACATGCTCTGCCATACCTCACCCACCATTTTCTGTGTGGTCCACAGCCCGAGACGGAGGACGAGAAGAAGCGCTTCGAGGAAGGCAAGGGGCGATACCTACAGATGAAGGCAAAGCGGCAGGGCCAGGCAGAGCCTCAGCCCTAGATGCCCCCCTGCACCAGTGGGGCCTGAGCAACTGCGGTGACAGCCCCACATCCTGTCACTTAGTCACCCCCTGGCCAAATCCCCACCGCACACTTTGAGCTGGTGTTGTGTGAAGTCCCCGTGTGACAGTGTTAGCCTGCACCCTGTCCTGAACACCTGTGCACCAAAGCTTTATTTATACCCTTCTAGTATAAATGCTACACAGTATTGTCCCGGACGCCGGAGGTGCCCTGGGGACCCATGTAAGGTGTGTCACAAATCCAGCACTAATAAAGCTGCTCTTCAGCTGGACCTGTGATGCCTGGGTGTGGTTTGTTGGGGGGTGCTCCCCCAAGGGCTATGGGGGTGCCCATGGACAGCCTCAGCACCCCATCCACCCCATGGGCACACGGCAAGGTTCCAGTGTGGCTGATGACCTGCTGGCTGCAGAGCGTACTGTGTACCACGAGACCCTGGAGGTCCTGATCGCTTCCTGCACCCCTGCATTCCACTTAACAGTGCTTGAGGACCAGGGAGCTGATGAGTCAAGCGCTCCTACCACTGGGCCAGGACCTCAGCCTGACGCCAAAGGGTCTGGGTCTGAGGGGCCCTGCAGGTGTCGAGGGTCAGCGTGAGGCTGTCACTGTATGCATGCATGTGTGTCACTGCAACATCTGCAGCAGTGCCTGTGTGGTGTGGGGTTGTGTACTGATGTTTCACTCTACATACATATGTGCGCATGTGTAAAGGCGTAGGGGGTGTTGTGTGTGCATCTAGACCAGCGCTTTGAGACAGATAAGCCTCCAAGACCTCTGTAGGAGCTAGCATCCCACCCTAATCCACCAAGGACACCCAGAAGTGGCACTTTAGCTGCCCTTGACGGCCACACCTCTGCCTATCTGCTTTCAAGAGATGTCTGCCAATAGCTACAGCTCACACGGAGCTCCCTTGGGGCCCTGGAAAGGGCACTGCACTCCAAATGTGCAGAAACACCCGCCAAGAACTTCAGAATCTGTCTGGGGCCCCGTCCCTGCTGATGGGGTTAGTTCCTGCCTGGGGTCGGGGGGAGGAAGCTTGGCTACATCAAGCCCCAGCATCCTGAGGCTCTCAGCTCCTTCGAGGCTGGCTGGACTCAGGCAGCCTGGCAGGGCCCCTGTATCCACCCAGCAGCACCCCAGACCCAAGCCAGGCTGACCGGCCTTTCTCCCATCACATGGCTCCCGTGATACGGGAGAGAGTTTGCCTTAGAAGTGTTACAGAGGCTGGAGTGGGGCCCAGTGTTGGAGCATACTACCCACACTAGCCTCCTCGGTTTGATTAAGGGGAACCAACATGAAGAAAAGCCACACTTGACTACAGTCTTTACACAGCGTCCCCTGCTGGCCATCTGTTCCTGACCAGTACCACCTGATGGGCAGCTGGCCTGTCCACGAGGGCTCACTGGGAAACTGAGGCCTTCAAGCACCCAGAAGCAGTAGGGTTGGCAGGAGAGGCCCTCCCTGCCCCTGGCCTTGCGTGTGACTGAGGAGCCTCTACAAACCTTCCATCTTATGGGACTGATCTTCAGGCCCACCCTGGGCGCCCTACAGCTACTCAGGGATCTGGGGAGTGGGGAGAGGCCAGGTGGGTGCAGAAGCCAGGCTGTGGAGTTCTGGGCAACCCTGTGGGGCCGGCAAGCACCAGGCAGCAGCTCGAGCTGCTGATTTAATGGGTACCATGCTGGCCTGGCGCCTGTCTTCTTGCAAACCAGGCTGCCTGCCCAGGAAGGACACTGTGTGCCTCGAAACTCTCCGGTGGCCTCAGGCCTGGGGCCCATTGGCTTGCGTGCTCGGGGGCAGGGCAGGACCAGCTCAGGTTGCCTGTCTATAGGTGATAGCGCTAGCAGGAATGCTAACAGGAGGGGGGCTCAAGACCCTGACCCCTCCCAGCAACAAGTTGGGGTGGGGTGGAGTGTCAGAGCTTCAAGGGTATTTCTGAGGCCGTGAGGGAGCAGCAGCCACTTGGAACGTGCTGCCTGCGCTAGTCCCTCCATGGGCTCCAAGGCCCAGGACACACTGGAACTCTCCCCACTGACCCGACCTTGCCTCTAGCTGCTCTGGCACCCGAACGAGCAAGTCCCAGGCTTAGAGTAGAAATGTCTTTGGGGACCCTTTCCCCGAGCACCGCCCCCCTTTGGAGCCTGCATTTTCTCAGGTGGCATGGAGGCTCCAGGAGACCGGACAGACCAAGCTTGGAGCACGGGCTGTAGGCGCCGTCTGTCCCCGGGTGTCTGGGCCCCGCTGCAGGCTGGGGGCGGTCAGGGCAGCTCAGACGGCGGGTAGACTCTGCCCGAGCTCCGAGCGCGCGGGGGCGGGGCGGGGCGCGGGGCGGCGCGGAGCGCGGGAGACATGCGCCCTGGCCC